ACTGGTAGATGCCTCTGTTGAAATCCTTTCCTCAGACTACAAAGATTGTATTATTATGAATCTGTTGTGGAATCATCTGTGTAAATCTTCATCTGCTTTCATTAGTTTTCAATAAGGTAGTTATATTTCTTCACTGGATTCATTTCAGCATTTATTGAGTGTTTGCTATATGCTCGGAAATGTTTCGAGTATGTATGTAAATTCCCTCCCTCCCTCCCTCCCTCCCTCCCTCCCTCCCTCCCTCCCTCCCTCCCTCCCTCTCTTCCTTCCTTCCTTCCTTCCTTCCTTCCTTCCTTCCTTCCTTCCTTCCTTCCTTTTCTCCTGGCAGTGCTTACTCTTGGCTCTGTGCTCAGGGATCACTCATGACAGGGCTTAGGGACCATATGTGATGCCAAAAATTAAACCTGAGTAGGCAGCATGCAAAGTAAGACACTCTACTTGCAGTACTATCTCTCTGACCTGGGAAAATTGATTGTTTTAAGATTGCTTTTTTCTAAGTTATTTTAGATCCTTATTTTCTATACATATCTTCATGTTTTAAAATGAGAGAGAAATAATTGTCAGTAAGTTTTATGTCTGAAAGTCTTGTTGACCTCAGGTCTTGTCTGAATATACAAGATCACCATCCAGAAATGTTAGAATAAGATTTAAAAAAAAAGTTTTCCAAATTTTTCTGAAACAATTATCATAAAGTTAATTTGGAGAGGGGCACACCTAGTAGTCCTCAAAACTTACTCCTGACCCTGTGCTCCAGGATCATTCTTGGTGGGTTTTGGGAACTTATATGGTGCTAGGGATCAAAGTCAGATCAGTCATGTGCAAGCCCAGTATCTACCCACTGCACTATCAATCTGGCCCTTAAGAACAAGACGTTAACATTTAGTGGAACAAGTAGAACAGAGAACTCTCTCCCACCCCCTCTGTTTTATTAATATCCATTTTCAACTAGCTCCAATTCCCATACCTGTTTTTAGTCCCTTCTTGAAGATCTGAATCTGATTCTGTGACTTACTGAGATTCTTGCAGGCATTCATTTGTGGCCTTGCTTCTGCCTCCTTTGCCTTTGTTCTAGGCTGCAGTTTCCTACCGTCTACTTCATCATCCAATGCTGCATTCACCTTTATCACTGAATTATGTAGGATTCTCTGGTAGACCAGAATCCCTTTCCTTTACAGTCATTTTAATGGCATTTTGATGGGAAAATAATAATTCAACAATTTTTACAGAAGAAAGTTTATAAAAATAAAAATGAATAGTCATAAATAATTTAAAAAATAATAAACTGTAGACAGGGAAGTGCTTTTTTAATCTGGATTTATTAAGGTATTAGAGTAAATCTGAACTAGCGATTCACTGAATGCACAATATGAAAAGAGGTAGGAACTGAGGATAGTATTTAGATCACACGCTTGAGAACTGAGTAGCTGAGGGTATTTGTTGACAGAGGGAATATGAGAGTATGTTCTGGTAGAACATGAGGCTGGTTAAATTTAGGTATGTCAACAGATATATTTGTAGCACTGTCCTCTCCTCTCGTTGTTCACCAGTAATGTCTCCATTGTGAGACTTGTTGTTACTGTTTTTGGCATATTGAATACGACACTGGAAGCTTGCCAGGCTCTGCCGTGCGGGTGGGATACTCTCGGTAGCTCTCCGAGTGGGATGAAGGGATTGAACCAGGGTCGGCCACGTGCAAGGCAAACGTCCTACCCGCTGTGCTATTGTTCCAGCCCAATATCCTGAAATCAGTTTAATGTCAGATGCTCAGGAGATAGAACTAAAGATGCCTATTTTGTGGTTATTTACAAATCTGGAAGCCAGAGAAAATGAATATAGTTGCTCTGACAGAACCTGAAGAAGCAGTCGGGTCTCAGACAGGTACCCGAAGAGGAATCTGAGAAGATAAGATAAAGAGTTCACAAAGGCACCCGAGGAGGGACAAGAAGAGAGAAGGACTAAACACTAATATTTATTATTATTATTATTATTTTTATATTACTATTAGTAAATTATTTCTAGTTTGGGGGCCACACCTACTGTGCTCTAAGCTTACTCCTGGGTCTGCACTCAGGGATCACTCCTGGCAGGATTTGGGGGTCAATGTGGGGTGCTGAGAATTGAATCCGGGTGGGCTGCATGCAAGGCAAATGCCTTATCTGCTCACCATACCATCTCTCCATCCTAGAAATACTATATTTAAATTGATGGAGAGGGAAGGGTGAAGTAAGAATTCTTAAAGCTTTAGGAAGAAATCTATGAGGAAATCCAAGGGGTTTGTGGGAAGTGTTCAGAATCTCTATCCAACACACAAGCTGGGTCCGTCCAAGTGTCTCCTCTCCTTGGGATTACTGCAATGGTTCGCACCAGTCACTCTGCTCCTAGTCAAGTGACACTTCAATTTATCTCATTTTTGGCAAATATGAGTTATTTTCCTTCTTCACTGCCCTTTAATGCAACATACTTTCTGAGAAGAAAGTCTCATAGCATCAAACATGACCGAGAGTTCTACTCTCTCAAGGATAGATATTATTTTTCTCAGTAACTTGCACGTGGGCCTCCACTGGGCTAAATGTATATTTTCACATATATGTACATACATAAAAATCATACTTTTTAAGAAACTAATTTATAATATGAATTTGTATTGAAGTTTTAGTTTAGACACTGTGGTTCACAGAACTGTTAATGGTACAGTTTCATACATAAAACATTCTAGCCTCACCACAGCAGAGTATTTGCTTTCCTCCACCATTGTTCCTGTCCCCAACAAACACTTAAGTTCCCTCTACTGAAGATAAGTTCTCAATTTCTGTGGCCTTTGCGCATTTGTTATTCCCCATGACATTTCTTTATATCCTGCATCACATATTTATGTTTTATTTCACTATTGTACACCTACAAGTCTTCCCAGTTGACTGTGAATTACTGGAAGTTAGGAATTTAGGAATTAAGCCAATTTTAATTGTTCAATACACTACATATTAATGAACGGGCAGCAACCTAGTTAAATAAAGACAGTTTATGGTGGAATTTTATAAGAAAACAACAACAACCCCATAAAAAATGGGATGAATAGAAACCGCCTCAAAAAAGGCGTACAGATGACTAAAAGGCATATGAGAAAAGGCTCAGCATTATCACAAGAGAAATGCAAGTCAAAACAACAGTGAGATATCACCCCCACACTAGTCAAACTAAAACACATGATAAAGATTAAAAACAACCAGTGCTGGTGAATATGACCCAAAATCAAAAAAGGAAATAAAGTACTAAACCATTATAAAACAGTGATTCTCAAGAGATTTTTCTCTGTGAACTCTTGGTTGTCTACATATATCGTGACCTAGAAGAACATATGATGTTAAACCATAGGTACACACAAAAAATTTTATTGCATGAAGACAGAATGTGGTTTCTTTCATGTAGTTTCTGAGGCAACGCTGTCTACACCACCATTTTCTCTTCATAAAGGCAGAGTGCTGCAATGTAAGAGAGATTTTATAGGAATAATTCCTCCACCTCTCTCAGAGAGCCTGGCAAGCAAGTACTGAGAGCATCTCACCCGCACGACAAAGCCTGGCAAGCTACCTGTGACGTATTCGATATGTCAAACACAGTAACAAGTCTCAAAATGGAGACGTTACTGGTAGATCATATAACATAATGAAGAATTGCTGAAGCATACATTTCCTTTAAATAATATGCTTAATATGATTTGAACCCAATTCACTGATCATTTTTGTGCAATATTTCATGAAACCTTTCGGAATGCTGAAAAAGAAAGTCTTCTATATCATTATATATTCTAAATGTGACTTCTTCTGGCTTCTTCCTGCTCACTGATAAAATAAAACCCAATTCACTATCCCGTGATCACCACCACCATCACCAGATGCACAGAGCTCCACTTCTTTGTTTGCTGACTGAAAGACTGATATAGCCAAAGTTCCTGCTGCATAATCTTTTTTATGTTAATACTTCTCAGCTACCAGTGGTTCTTTCCCTTCCTTCTATTTGTTCCCCTCACACCTCCTACCACCACTCTTCTGACAAGAACTTAGAATTCCAAGTAAGTTTCTTAGAGAATTGTAGGTGGGCAGGAGTGATAGCACAGTGGGGAGGGCATTTGCCTCGCACGCAGCTGACCTGGGTTTGATCCCTGGCATCCCATCTGGTCCCCCAAGGACCACCAGGAGTGATTCCTAAGCACAGAGCCAGGAGTGCCCCCCTGAGCATTGCTGGGTGTGGCCCAAAAACTTAAAAAAAAAAGCTTCTAAATAAAATCTGTTTTTAAAAAAAGTTTCTGGAGCCAGAGCAATAGCACAGTGGGAGGGCATTTGCCTTGCATGTGCCTCATGGGGGTTCAATCCCCGGCATTCCATATGGTCCCCCGAGCACTGCCAGGAGTAATTCTTGAGTGCAGAGCCAGGAGTAACCCCTGAGCATCGCTAGGTATGATTGAAAAAAGGAAGATAAAAAGTTTCTTAAACAATTGTAAACATGACATGGAAGCCTAACTAAGCCAGCATGAAATGCGTATGACCAAGAAATATTGTTCTCAATACAACCACATCATTGCTGGGTTAGAGAGATAGTTTAGTGATAACGTGTTTACCTTGTATGCAGCCGATCCCATAATCAATCCCCAGAACCTCATATGATTCCCTGAGCCTGACCAGGAGTGATCTCTGAGTACAGAGTTGGGTACGAGATCTGAGCACTGCTGAGTGTGGCCCCCGACAAAAATAAAACTTTTCTTGCTGTTCAACATTTGCGATTTACTTTGAGCTGTACATAAGAGCAGTTCATTAATACTTGAATAATTTTTATAATCTCTTATAGTATTCGATTTTGACACTTATTTCATTCTCTTGCCTGGAGTTATGGAAGCAATCTGATATCTGGAACTCTGACTCAAGACAACCCAAGGCATGCAAAGGGCTAAAATAATGCATTTCTTTATTGTTTAAAGAGTTGAACAGAAGCACTTGACACTCATAAATGCATAAAGTTACTTTATTTTAAGTATACATTTAATTTTGAAAAATATAAATGCTAAAATATCTCATCTTCTTCATCTCTTAATTCCATAAAAGTCACAATAGAAAGCTTCATAAAACTGTAAAATACTATAATGTTATAGGAATTTTAGGATTTATATTGGAAAAATTATTAGTAATATATTGAAATGTTTTCTGTTCGTTATCATTTTGTTCCACCATGTTGATCTACTTCATTTAAAATAAAAAGATGCATCATTTCTCCAAAGTTAATAAAGACTTAAGAGAATAAAAATAAGAATATCTGAAAGTGCGTATTGATTCTGAAAAGTAATGTGTACGGATATGTACCAGCCATGAAAGTGGCTGAAAAAGAGGCAACTATTCACTCTTTTCACATTGTAGAATTGGGACAAAGTTACTTCTGGCTCTAAAAGTTTCTCTGGATGACTTTAGCCCTGAGTTGCAATATTTGCCTAGGAAACAGAATTCAGGAATTTTGTATGTATTCATAGACCACAGAGCCGAGCCAAGAAAAAGGAAATATCCAAATTTCTAGTCAAAATGCAATTTAGCTGGCTAGCATATATCACAAACTCTATTTCAGGCTGCAATGAAGCTCAATGAAGTCATCATCTGAAAATTTCCAAGGCCCTTTCGATTGTCAAGTGGCAGAAAATATCATTTGATTGTATTCAGCCACTGGGTGGAACTGCACTTCATGTTCATGCCGTGAAGAACAGAAGTAAAATATCATGAAATAAATAAAAAGATCTCAAGTTCCTGCACCGAACCAAATCATTAAGTGGTATGAAGAGGACTGAAGAAACCTTTGTCCCAACCCTGAACAATGTCAAATTCTGTAATAACAACTCAGGGTTTAGTTTTAATTTCAAAAGTCAGCAGTCAATACATTTCAAGTACTTTAACACAGATTTTTTGTTTTTAAGAAAAAAGACCTAAAACTCAGAAGACAATTGTTCTTTGTATTAAACACCAATATATAGCAGATATATTTACTCTGTGTGTGTTGGTACATGTGCATAAAATATACACAGACTGAATTACTGACGCAGACAAGTGTCTACACACTCCTTTTTTCTTTTATGAGGTGGGCTGATTAGAAAGGTTTTTTTGTTTGTTTGTTCTACTTGTTCAAGCCTCCATTACTCCTACCCCTCCTTGCACTGCTGGACTAGAAAAAGAAGCAGAACATTATTACCTTTGGCACACAAAATAATTATGATTCCAAGTCATTATTCTACATACTAGAGAATGACATGCTTCATGGGATATAGTGCTTCCAAGAGATTTTCTTACAACTGCAAAACCAGAGGCTCTTATCCTCTGACAAGATAGACTTGGTCTAATAAGTTCTTTTTTTCCAGCAGTAAATTTTGTGCAACCTTGTGGCTGAGTGTACACTTAATCCTTCTAACTACTTAAATATTCTCCTCATGGTATTCACAATAGGGAGAAATACTTTGTATAAAAATTACTGGTGTAGTTTGTGTGTCCAGTTTCCTTAGAAACAAACCATCCTCAAATTCGGTTAGTTCTTAGACAATGAATAAATTGAGTTAGGATACAGGTAATTGGATGCTCTAAATGGACCTTGGGTTCTGTTTGTTTGGCAGCAACTACATCTGTTTCTCTAAATGTAATGTTTTTTTTTTTCAAAAACTTCTCTGAATCCCCCAATATTGAAAGAGTTTGATATTAACTGTTCCTTTTCACCAGTTTAAGGTCATATTTTAAATTTAGATTATCCATAGCAACCTTCTTTCATAGTGTAGAAATCATAATGAGATCTCTTAGATTTACTAAAAAATATGAAATATTGGATTGCTTCAGGAGTTCTTTGAAAGGGAGATGGACACAAATCCTCAAAGATCTAATTCATGATCAGAAAAAAATATATATCTTAGTTTTTATAAAAGTAAACAAAAGTATCTTAACAAGATCATAGGTTAGGCTAAACTCAATTATGCCTGGCTTTTAAGCATTTTATTGATGCTTCCATCCTTAAAGAAAAAGAAAAGCTTCCTTATTTTAGGGCACTGAAAAATTAGATAATTTTAATAATATTATAGAATAATCACTTTTAGGACAGCTCTAAAAACAAATCTGATGCCAAATTTGGCATGTGATATTTTAACAAGTAACATGTAAATTGTCAATTTTCACTTAGATAAAAAAATTTGAGGCCATTTATGCTATGCATAATTTGTATAAAATGAAAATTTCTAAGATGATCAGTACTATAAGAGTAAGTGCTAATTCATTATAATAAAAATTTTGTAATCAAAATTTCAAAAGGATAGACTTAGAATTAATATAAGAATGAGTGGGAGTCAAATGTTCATATTATGAAACCCAAAGAATGTGGTTTCATTCTGTTTCTAGTACTTATCTAACAACCTGTTTTAGTTAGGATATATTACAAACGTGGTTATATGAATCCAAAATTATGGATTCGACATTTAAAATGTTATTTTTAATGCATATTCACAATATACAATGCATCTTATTAAAAATATTACATTTAAATAACATGCTAAATTTGTGGAATAAAGGTCTAATTTTTCTTCTAATTTTTGATATGGATTTTAAACATATACACACACATATATATACACACATTTAATTTCTAAACTTCCAAACAATAAGGAATGATTGCCTTTACGTCCTAAAAACTGTTAAAACATATAGAAGTATACTCTCCATATTCTTCTGTTCTCCCATGAGCTCACTGAATATTTCTCGTATTTTATATTGTAAATATGGGGCATTGTATCAAGGATGATAACTGACATCTGGATGATAGAATACATTTATCCTCCCCATTTGTACAATGAACGCTGTCTTTTTGAGCTCTAGTGGATTTTTCATGTGTGGTTTGGATTTTATGAAAACTGACATAAGAGGGGCTGGGTAACTTAGATTTTCTCCTGTATCACTCTTTCTGTAAATTTGCACATTTGTGCACCAGTCACACACAGAGTGTACACACAAATACACACATATTTCTGAATGAAAAAACAAGTCTAACAATACTGCATAGGACATTGACATGGTAATACAATTAGCGTCTGTGCCAGATACTACTATCAGAATATCAGTTATTCTCATCATGTAGAAGCTTCTCTTTTCTCCTTCACAGAACAGCAAAATTTCTTTTAAAGACAGGAAAAATAGATGCTGAGAAACATGGTGTTTTGAAAATCTTATCTAGCCCTCTGGCTTACCCGAGAGATTGTGTATTTGTATGTGTCTGTGCATGTGTGTGTAAAAATCACATTATATACATTACCATTTTTTACAGAAAGCCTGGCAGCTACAAATAAGAGGTAGAACTACTCAAAACTATGTTTCCTGCTGCAGGAAAAAATTCATTTCTTTACAGTAATTAAAAAAAAAGTTAAAAAAATTGACAAAAAATAAGTTGCAGGTTAGGCCCCATAATTTAAACAACAAAATCTAGGAAGAAAAATATTCTTCAATGTACTCAACAGATAAGTTCGTTAAAGGGTTAAAAAAAGTTGCATAGGAAAAAGGGACATTATTCCAGCACTTGCTACAATGATGGCAACAGTTTTTCTCTAGGGAGTAAAGTACCTTTAGTTTTATTTCTTTTGAAAATTCTAAGATTGGGGTTTACAAGCAGAGCAAGTTAGAATAGCAGCACTTTTTTCCAGTCCTAGAGAGATCTAGAAGCAAGAAGGGGATTCTGCTGGCCATAAAAGTTTGTTCTACCAGACAGAATGACAAGCCAGTAAGCACAGCTCCAAAGCTAGTTAGTAAGTTCCTTTAACAGTTTAATAAAAGGTGTTATAAAATCTTTAATACTTTTGCCCTCTGCTTAGTAAAAGAAAAGGACAGTGTCTGTGTGAATCTTGAGTGACAGAGGAATTTGGTTGTAGAAGGATACATCTGCAAGTGTAAGAACAAAAGTGTCATTTTTTTTTTTCTGTTTTTAAAGGAATGGTGCATCTTAGTCTTGGTTTTACCTATGCAAGAGAGAAGCACAGAGAGAGCTATAGCATTTGGCCAGTGACCAAAGAGCAAAACAGAACAAAAAAAAATTAAAAAGTAAATAGACACCACAAGAACAGTAACAATTAAAAACTGTCAGTTTTAAGAGAAAAACAGGTTACAATGTGGTTTCTGTTCCCTTGTTCCTCCAGAAATAATCATTGTCTTCAGGCTCAAGTTCGATCCTAATTTGAGGCACGACTTTTACTGGAGTTCTAGGAGGACTGGAGAAAGAGAAAGAAAGAAAATTGTAAGTAAATCCAATTCCTTTATAACCTGTTAAATAAATATCACCTGGAAGTCAAATGTGTCATCTTTTGTTCTCTCTTTTGCAAACCACAACACCCAAAAGGAGAGAGAGAACAAAAGGGAATACCCTGCCACAGAGGTAGGGTGAGATGGAGGGGATGGGGGTGGGAGGGATACTGGGACCCATGGCGGTGGAAAATGGGCACTGGTGGAGGGATGGGTACTCGATCATTGTATAACTGAAACCCAAGCACAAAAATTTGTAAGTGTACAACTGTACCTCATGGTGTTTCACTAATAAAAATTAAATTAAAAAATATGTATCTCTTTTAGTATTTCAAAATGGTATGAAGGGACTGGCAGAAACAAGAAATTCATGCAAAAAATTGTTTAGGCTTTCATATGTAGACAAAAAAGGAACAGTGGGGAGGAGGGCTGGCCGGTGGGTAATATCCGAAATCGAAGGGCAAAAAAAGATGTGCAGGAAACAGTCAGTCATTTCACTGTTTCGAAAATAAGTAGGATATAACATTTCTCAAGTCCTGTGAAGAGGCAAGGAAACTAGGAGAGGAGTCCTTCCAGGAAACAACACCTCCCTTAAATTGAGGTGAGACTGAAATGTTAAGAGCTAATATTGATCCCGGGCTTAACTTGAATGATACAGAATGATTCCATCATTTTGAAGAATTCATAGAGTAAGTTTCTTAGAATGTTTTCTACCAGTGAGAGCGAGGACACTGTTTGGTGATTGGGTCATTTATTGAAGATAAATGATCGAGAGGAAGGAGGACAGGGCATTCTGCCAAAAAACTGCCACTGACTACATTTCTGTGAGGCAATCATCCCACAGAACAAAAACCCTGGGCTGTCCCTTACCTTGGCAAACCGAGTGACTGAAGGAAAGGAATTTTATCAGCATGATGTGTGGCGTTCGAGGAATGTTGGTGACCTTTCTCCTGGAGGAAAAAAAAATGTTATCATAAATAGTAGTCTCTAGCAATCATAAAATAGTCTTCGAGGCGGTGTGAAAAAGAAGTGGCCAACACGGTTTGGGAAGCTTGAATTCCTAAAGAAAATATTAACTAAATTCCACTGAAAGGACTTTGAGGCAGTTAGCTCCAGTCCCAAATTACATATAGATAATTTGGGACACAAAAGATGCGACGGCTTTTCTTCTTTTATCTCCAGTTGCAGTGAACTGGGACCCTCCTGCCAGACTTCCTATGCTTCAGTGGTCTACACCGCAATTTAGTCACTTTGCCTTGCAGGTGCCTCACTTCTGAGGCTGACAGGAAAGAACGCAATTTCTGCCTTGGTTTCTGTCTTGGTCATCACTGGCTCTGGGGGAATTCAGGTCATGAGAAGCAGCCTGATGACTCTTCAGGGCATGGAACTGAGAAGAATCTTTCTGACAAATGGCTTGTACCTGAACTTGAAGCCAATTCCCTAGTTCCACACACAGACTCAGCCTCAGCTGTGAGCTTCACTGGAATCTCAGGAGCCCAGAACCAGAACCACCCAAATCAGCTGTTCCTAATTTCCTGAATGCAGGACTTGTGTGGAGAAAACTCAAAGTTGGTGGTTTTAAGCTACTAAATTCTGTGTTTGATAGAATAGAAAACTAATACCCAGTTTTCATAAATTGTCATTCAAGTTGAACTTCTCTTGGTAAACTCTTTTTGACGTTAAACCAGCATCATCAAATAGAAATGCTTGCATCTTAATTGTCTTTTTTTGTTATGTATCAGAAGTGTACCCTAATCTAAAAAAAAATTTGGTTTTTCAAATGAAAACCAAAGTGCTACTAGTTTAGAGGCAATTGATATCTGCTGTTGGGAAAGCTTGGGGTAGTAATTCTTACTATAGAGGTTTACCTCTATTTAAGTGATCTGTTAATTCAATTACAAAATAAAAGAGGACAAGTCAGAAACCATTAAACGTTAGCTGCCAGGTTATTTACCCCAGAAAAAACAGTGACTGAAACAGCCGAAGAGGAATGAAAGAATTAGAAAGAAAATGCATAAATCTTATAAGCTATGTCTAAAATCAAGTTGCAATAATGTTTTTATGATTGCCAATTGAAAAAAATTACTCCAAGTTCTTTATATTAACAACTTAATCACTATCATTAAAGGAACCGTGATGCAATTTTCTCTTTTGAGCTGATTTGATCATTGGTGGAAGCCTAAGGAAGACAAACAGTAACAGACAGTGATGTAGTACTACAAGCTGCAATTCTACCTACCAGTGGAAAGAAGAAAAATCAATTTAAAATATGGTTATGAGTTTAGCAATTGAAAGAAACTGGTGATAACTTGGGTCAGAGAAGAGACTATTAAGCAAAAACATAAAGGGTTATGCATAAGAGGGAGAAATTAATGGTGAAGCTTAGGGAAAATAAAAATGAAGTTTCATAAAAATCAAGGAAAAACTCTCCACAAAACAGAAAGACAAAAAAAATAGGAATTTATGAAGATGAGCATTCTAAAGGATTTTTTTTTTCTTCTGTAATTGCAAATCATAAGTAAGCAGGCATGCAAGAGGTTAGTTCTACTCACTGTCGGAAGGTTTGCTATCACTTAGGAAAGGTTGCTGTTCCATGCTGTCCATTGGAATTTTAATACCTGGAACTTTTTCTGAGTATGGGCAGTCAGACTGTGAAAAAAATTTACAAGAATTTTTAGAATTGTAGTACTATCCCCGGGTACTGCTTGAGCAAGTAAATACTATCATCATTTCATTACACAGGAAAAAAGGCTTATATGTAATTGCTTTCACTCTGCTCATTTTTCAAATTTTATACCACCTCCCCATACTCCCACATTTGTTTTCCTCCCTGTATCTTAGTGGGATTGAGTCAATTAAAATTAGAGTGGCACCAAGTGAACAGCACAACAAATTAAACAGGTGGAAACTTTCTAGAAATTGAATTTCCAAGCAGCAAATATGTATGAGTTTGTTTTATATAAAAGCATTTTCTTTGGCATTTTGGGTCACACCTGGCAATGCACAGGGGTTACTCCTGGCTTTGCACTCAGGAATTACTCCAGGCAGTGCTCAGGGGACCATATGGGATGTTGGGAATCAAACCCGGGTTGGTCTCTTGCAAGGCAAATACCCTACCCACTGTACTATTGCTCCAGCCCTGAAAAATAAATAAATAAAATAAAATAAAATAAAATTGATCCAAAAAGTCAAAAGGAAAACAGAGAAAAATTCCTAAACTATAATATGGTCTGAGGGGTCAGGTATGTAGCTCAATGTTAAAGTACCTGTGTAGTATGGTGTAGTATGTACGAGACCTGGTTCTGTCCCTGACACTGTAAATCAATTAATAATATCAACGTTTAAAATAATAGTAATCCTGAAATTTTTTTGTTTATATTTTTTTTCTTCCATCTCCGGGAAAATACTAACTCATCTTTCCTTTTAAGACAGGTAGAAGACATTTTGTAACATTTTTTTATAGTAAGAACTTAAAAATAAAATATTTGAGAAGGATGGAGAGATGGTACAGTGGGTATGATGCTGCTGATCCAAGTTTGATTCCCAGCAACCCACACACACTTCTGAGTCCAAGAAGTGATCCCCGAGTACTACCAGCTGTGGCCCCCAAAACGAAACAAACAAACAAACAAAAGATTACATCTGAAAATAAACCTCCTTCACAAACTCAAAACTGTTCTATATTTAAAGGTTATTTTAATTTTAAAACTTAGCAAAACAGAAGATAGTCAAATTAAAAGGAAGGTACCTATGAGGGTCAGAGAGGGAGCGAGGGCTCAGATCTGAACCAAATGGTAACCCTGGACAGTTAATCATGAGGCTTTTTTATACTGAATTCAATATGTATGGACTGAAAATACCAAATTCATATCTTAACTGGAAGTAACAAGGAGATGACCTTTGGTTGAAAGAAAAAGAATGAAAAAAGGGATCAAAGTAAATAAAGAAAAAAATTAATTTTAACATAAAGCTCACTACACATTGAAACATTCCTTATGAATATGTACAGGTTAATGACCTACAATGACCTACATTATTCTTTTGGAGGCCCTAAAATACTGACTTAAATTGATGCAAACCATAAAGAAGATGATGCCATGTGTGCCTACATTATGAGTATGTCAAGAGGGTGAGTGCTATTATAGCATTTCTAATCAGCAGTTTTAGAGGAACATGATGGCACCTTAATCATAACTTACCAGGCAAGTTAAAAAAATATTGAGTGGCAGCCTTTTCCACTCTGAAAAAACTTGTGTTCTCTCTTCAATATCTCTCTGCCTCCCTCCCTCCCTCCTTCCCTCTCTCCCTTCACTCCCCTTAAATTTCTCTAAATAAATTTCTTTCAATAAAACTGTTTTGTTTCACTAAATTGAAAAATGAATATTGAACGGCTCAATTGTGGGCAAGCTATGATCCCACTACTTCTATGTGCAAATATTTGAGGCATAATTCCTATACTCCTGATGTTTCCCTGAATCCATGAACCCCACACTCCAGTTTTCTCAGCGAATGTCAGGAGAGTCACATTCTAAGTGTAGAAGCCTCAAATGATGAATGCAGTACACAGAACTAATCATAGATGTGCTTTAGAATTACTTGGTTAGATTCAGTGTGTATGACATATTTTATACAAACACACACACATATACACACACATCTATATGTATACTTTATTTGACTGAGTGGGACAGAGGAGAAAGAAGAAAAAAGTTTCAAAGATTATCTTTATGCAATTTGTTGGAACCACTGAGCTGAAATGGTAAACATTTTAATGAAAGAATATCATTGCTTAAATAAAATATGGTTTGTTGAAAGTTAGATCTAAGAACTGGAAGAACTTCTTAGGAGCTCATTTGATCCAATTGTTGACACTGGAGAGTACTAAATTTAAAACATTCCCTAATGTTGATTTTTTCTTCCCTTAAAAACCATTAGAGAAAAGATTCCATGATATGACTTCATACATGTGTAATGCATAATGAATTTTGAGCTTAGAATCATGTACATAAACTGATACACTTGTTTTGAAAATACAAGAAGAAATACGGCTTTAATTATCTCAATATTTCAGGCAATGCCCCTCCCCATTTTTGGTTTTGAGTGGTCTAAAATTTATTTCAAATTTTTATTTCAATTCAATGTGCAAATGCATCATTCTTCTTAATGCTACATCTTAATCTGTGATATAGCTTCGGCATATTCTCTCTTTCTCTGTCGTCATTGGAAACAAAAAGTCAAAATACCTCATCTCATTGTAGATAGATGATGACAGTCATAAAAATTCCTACTGACTCTTTCTTTTTAGTAAATGTGCCTCATATATTTGGCCTTCCTTTATTGGATCAATTTATCTGAAATTCAATTTTGTCTGCCAACTTCCTTCCTGTGTTTTTTCCAAATTCTCCAAAAAGAACACAATCAGACTGCCTGATCAACTGGAAATAACCAAGGATCTAGATTAAAGTTTGTCTACTTTAATGATGATTGTGTACATTTAGAAAAATGACTTAATATTTCTCAGATTCAATTTCCTCATTTGCAAAATGCAAACTTAAAATATACTTTAAACTGTAAAGGCAATGAAGGAAGTGGTATATAGGTGATAAGTCAAAATGAACAAGTACAGAGTATATACCAAAAATGTATGATATTCCAAATTTAGGGTGGGATGCTGGTGATTGCATTAGATTGGAGATATTTCAGTATGTAAAACTTCAAAAAAATTTTATATAGAAAATGTAATTTGGGCAGTCCTTTCAACAACTACTGAAATGATCTGTGTGAATGTGGAAAAATATTCCAGATTTAATTTTCCATATTTCAGAAGCCAATCAAAGCACCTATATGTCTATGAAATGATCTCTGAAAGACAAAATAAGTGGGCAATGATTTTATCTCTCAGCTTAATCACCCAATAGCAAAAGGACCAACAATGACAGTAATTTCAACAATTATAGAAAAATATTCAAAACTCCAATTCTCTCTCCTTTTTCCTGATGATTTACAGAGAAATAATCCCAAATCATGTTAAAGTCAGTGAAAAGTTAAATTCAAGGTAGAAGTTTGGTTAAGAGCCTGTTCAAATGGATACATAGATCATTGCATTCAGCATGTTCAAATGACATTTGTCCATGTTAGCCTTAATATTATACAAAACTAAGTATTAAATTTAAACCTTGGATTATAAATAGAAAACCAACCATATCTCACAGAATTATGATGAAGAAAGAAGATTCTTTAAATAGGGTGGGCTTAATTTTGTTAGAAATCACTACATCACTTTGAGAAAATTAATGAATACTTCAGAATTTTAGAAAGTTCCTTACATCATCATTGTCACTGTCCAGACTTCCTTTCTTCTTTTTCTTTTTCTTCTCATCCTCCTTCTTTTTCTTGTCCTTTTCTGGAATGACATCATCTAGGAAGCTGAGATCATGCTGGGAGAATAGGTAATCCATGCCTTTTCTGACAGCTACAAGTGCCAAGATCTGGAAGGATAATATAAAAGTAAAAAAGAAAATGTTAGATGAAACCATGGTAATATGAATACTACCAAAGTCAGTAGAGACCCATTTTGTATAAGGAGTGTATGCTTATGGGGATTAATATTAAGTGAGCCACAAACTTTTTCTTCCTGGGGAAAGTTAGTTCATGAAAGTGTTAGTTCAAATTGACTCTGTTTTGATCACTGAGATATGCGGTTACGTACAATTAGAATTTTATTTTTTCTTTTTGTCTTTTTTAGTTACAAGGTCATTCAGGACTGGTTTTAGTAATCTAATGTTCCAATACCTGTCCTTAACCAGTGTACATTTCCCACCACCAATGTCCTGGTTTCCCTCTTGCCTCCTGCCCTAGCCCGATTAGAACTTCAATGTGAAAAGATTATTTTTAAACTATTTGCTTTTGTGTCAGACTTTTAATTAGTGACTAAAAGTTTAAGGTAAAAATAGCCTGCATAATTTTTTAGTATTCTAACTTAAAATATTATGCATGATTTTATTTTTGTTAATGGGGGGGGGGGTCACACCTGTGATTCTCAGGGGCTACTTCTAGGTCTGCACTCAGGAATTATTCTTGGTGGTACTTGGAGGACCATATGGGATGCCAGAGATTGAACACAGGAAGGCTCCATGAAAAGCAATTGACCTGCTGTATTATCTTTTCAGTCCCTGTACATGTTTTTAAAAATTGGTACAACACACCAAAATATCTTCAAAGTATTAGTAGTGAGGTAGCATTTGAGCTGCAAAGGTGATATAATTTATAGGGCACTTGAATCACAATTTACAGAATATTTAACCAGCTCAATTCGTGGACATTTTTTTTCACATTCATTTGCAAAACAATTCCCTGAAGTAGACATAATCTACTTCTTACAGCCAAAAAAGCAGATTATATGATGTTTAGAGGCTATGAGTATGTTATCCATGATCTAGAAGTCAAGTAAAGGAAAGAACAACTCCCAGCTGATTGCATCTCACATCAGCACTTATGTTGCAGAAGAGGCTGCCAATGGTCGACTGGTGGCAATAATCATATCAACTGGGGTCACCAGGATACATTTGGTGGTGCTTGGGGACTATCAGGGTCACTCCCAGCAGTGGTCAGGGGCCATGCAGAGCCAGGGATCAAACTTGGGGATTTATAATCCAAGGATGTGCTGTGCTCGAGCCCTTCCTCAATCTTAAACTGATTTTCTTGAACTTGATTCTATAAACTGTTTTTGAAGAGTAACTTCCAAAAGTACATTAAAAATTCCTGTGATCAACAATAGACTTGAAGGAAGTAGAGTTGTATTACAACAGTTGTATTTTCTTTTAAGTTTGAAATCTTCTCTGTATTTTAATTTTTTTTAAATTATGGTTTACATGTATATATATCTTTAAAGTAGCTCATATTTGTTGTTTTCCTATACAATTTATTTATTTTCTCTTAAGAATCTATGGGGTTGTAAAATATGATGCTAAATATGATAGAGTACTGAAATCTTTTAAGACAAAGTTAGAGTTTTGTCTTTTACCTCTTTTCTTTTTTTTGTTTCGCTTATAGATTTATTTTTAGTGAGGTTATCTTTAGCCACATTATGACCTCTGCATGTCAGTTTCTTTGTATCCTAGAGGAATTAATAAGACCTACCTTACTGGTTTCAGATAGGCTTTGTGATCATTAAAGCCCTGAAAAGATTTTATATATATATATATGTACATACATGTACATGTATATATATACACACACACATATATACATATATATACACACACTCACATATTTAAAGGTCTAAAATTATATTACTATTTATCACCATAAATTAATAGTTTACTGGATATATTTAAATTTACCCAGGTTTAACTTTGTTTTTCCTGACTTTAGCAAAACTAATAGGTAGGTTATACTGATAGCATATAAGAGAGTGACTTCTTATGTGAAATTCTTGCTCTAATTCTTTTAACTCACTGGATAACCTCCATAATTGAAAATTTATTCTTTATTCTTTTTAAAAAATTTTATTTTAGGCACCATGATTTACAGTCCTATTATAATAGGTTTTCATGCATAATACAACCTTCCCCACCCTGCCCAAGAATGTCCACTTACCCTTCACCATTGCTCTCATAATCCTCCCTCATCCTAATCTCCTCCCCACAATCCCTCTCCTGGAGTAAACATTGTTCTCTATTGTTTCAAGTGAAGTGGGCTCTGTATATTATTCAATGTTGATTTTATTATACAACAACACTTTTTAAAAAAAAATGAATGTGTACTTGGGTTCTACTATGTGTTATGATTAGTGCTCTGAGTGCCACTCTCATTTCACTGATGAGAGGATGGGAATTTTGTGGGGAACCGTGACCAGTGTGAATTTTAGAACCAGCATCTGAATTCAGAGGAGCTGATACCAAGGGTTATCCTAAATGACCATAGGCATAGGAAACAAGTAAACAATTAAGCCCAAGCTAGACATAATGAAACTACACATAAAAGACACATGTGTCTACCTTATTACAAGAACAGCAACACATTATTGAGTTGGTTTGATGAAAGGAATTCTCACCATGACTGGGAAGATGATAGCAGCCACAGTTGACTTGAGGATCCAGAGCAGGGCAAGACACAACACTTGCAGGAAGGTGAACAGGTGGACTCTGCGCAGGGGGACATGGCGCAGGTAGATAAAGTCAGGTTGATGCTTCAAGGGCATCAAAAGCAGCTTCAGACGATCCATGAACTGGAGAGGAAGAGGGAAGAGAGAACAAATGTATTGCTTCAAGACCTGACACACAGTCCCTTTCACCATGTCCAATTAACTACATCAATTGAGCTAAGCAGTTCCTTTTCTGGAGGACACTAATCAGGCAGTAGATAAATTTAGTTCAGTACAATAAGAAATAGTACAAATCTGCCAATTTTTGTTGTTGCCTGGCAGAAATATTATGTGAATACATGAGTTAAATTGATCCCTACACTCATAAAGCAAAATATATTGTAAATACTCATCTCTGATTTTTATTTTATTCATCTGAGTTTCGGGAGAGATCTTGCGCTTATTTTAGTAATGATACACTGAAAGAAGACATTTAGCTTATGTATTTTACTTTGCCTTAGTTGTTTTTATCTAAAATAAAAGGAGAGATGCTATATATCATACACTTCAAGATATGTTTCAAGAACATATAGTATGTATCTGACATGAAAATGGGAAAGCACTGGTATTATCGTAAATTTCACTTGCTGTAGTGCGAAAGCAAGTGATTACTGATGTTCTATTTAATTTTACAAACAAATATTGCGCTTTAACCATCAGCAAGCATCTAGAGCACATAGAGTCAAACTTCTAACTTAGACTGACTTATTATGACCAGACAAAACTAATTATTAAGTTGGGGGGAATACTAGTTTCATATTTTTCCACTTACATAAATTGCAATTAAAAAATATGTAAATTTTACTTACTAATTACTTGATACTTAAGCACTTAAAAAACATTAAACACTAGCTGATACTAAAAAAAGGCACAATAAAATAAATTAATTATTCAAATACTTATGTATTTACACATTAAATATGTAAATTGCAAACATCAAATATTTACACTGCCAGATACAATAGATTAATTTTTATACATGTAAACTACACAACAATGTCATGGCAAAAAAACCATTACTTTTTATATTGGATTGATAGCACAACGGGTAGGGTGTTTGCCTTGCATGCGGCCAACCCAGTCAACCTGAGTTCAATTTCTCCGCCCCTCTCGGAGAGCCCGGCAAGCTACCGAGAGTATCTCGCCCGCATGGCAAAGCCTGGCAAGCTACCCATGACGTATACAATATGCCAAACACATAACAACAAGTTTCACAATATTACTGGGCCTGCTGGAGCAAATCGATGAACAATGGGAGGACAGTGCTTGTCTCCATTGATGTATTATATTAATGTAAATTAATGTATGAAGACCACATTGTATTTTGTCAAAAATATCTAAAGGGTAAAAAATTCTACTGAATAGAAGTAAACAAGGAAAAATGAGTCCTCTCTTTTTTGGAGTTTTGGCTATTTGCCAAATTCATTCTGATTCTAAAACCAAATTAATCTAAATTCAATAAATGAAAGAAAAAGTTATTATGAAGCTTAAATAAATTCTTGTAATGTTAACAGAACATGTAGTCTTTTCCTTGAAAATACTGCTAAGTGCTAAATAAGGCTACAATTAATAAGGTGGCAAAACCAGCAGAAGTACTTCCAGTTTCCTGCTGCCAATTAAATTAAACTTCATTTGAAAAACAGAGTTCCTTCCTAAGTTCTCCCTAATGATTTTTTAAAGGGAGCAAGTTTTTATTCAAACTGTAAATGACTGATGTGAGAAGAGTTTATAAACCACATTAAGTTTATTCTTTTATTGGTACAAAGCTTTTGATCACTGATCTCAGTCAGGTGAAAAGCAAAATCAAATTAGAGTACCCTTCTACTCTACTATTAGTATAGGACAGAGGCAATTGGATAAATAGTATCATAAGACAAAAGAAAAAAAGAAAAAGGAGAGTGATAGAAAGAATGAATATAGCTCTTCTGTTTCCCCAGATAAATGAACTTTTATAGTCTATTGAGATAATGATCTGGATAATATTTCTTATCATCTGATGTAACAACACTTATTATTGCAAGCTAAATTAGAAATAAAAAGAGGTGAATGGTGAAAAAGTAAAAATAAATGCATTTATGAAGCTCAGCACTCAAGTTAGTGACTAGGTCTTTTTTTCAAAGATCTTTTAATAGACTGTTCTCACTACAAGGAAAGCACAGCTATACTTAGACTGCGTTGGAAAACTTACCTGTACACCATTAAGGGAAGCTACCCCCATATAGAGGAACACACCGTAGAGAACAGGCATGGGAATAAACTAGGAAGAAACAAAAACAGAGACGCTTAAAACTAATAAAAACAATAAGAGGACTAGCTTAAGTAAAGGCTAAATATGAATCTAAAAGATAGGCCATAAAAGAAAATAACTTCTTTTTGGACCACACGTAGCGATGCTCAGGAATTGCTTTTGACTCTTCGCTCAGGGTTCACTGGTGGTGCTCAGGGGACCATGTGGGTACTCTGTATTGAACCTGGGCCAGCATATGTCAGGAAAATGGCCTCCCAGATACTGTCACTCTGGCAATAATATAATAACTCAAATTAGGGTGCTTTGCTCATTGATGAACTTCCAAGCCCTTTGTACTAGAAAGTGGAGAGTGAGTTAAGCTCTCAGTTTTCATTTGATACTGCTTAAAAGTTTTTTTTAAAAGAATGAACATAATAGGATTTTAACAATAGCTATTTACAAAGGGCATTCAAGTTTGTTCCCTTTTTCCCTTGAAAGAATGACTTTAAATCAGATATAGGCATAATTTCTGGGGAAGAAATAGAGGGCTGAGCATTCCCGAGACTGAGTCCCTTTTTCACCACTGCTGATTTTTTCCCTTAATAATTGTCACTGAGTGATCTATCAGCCTGGTATATAAATATAGATGCTTCTTTCAATTAAAACATCAAATAAATGCCCCCTTCTTCCTCTCAGGAAGACTAAGAGGACTAATGAGAACACTGCTTGAAAGGAGCATGGAGCATCTGGAAATAATTAATTACACACAGGAATTATATACATCTTCTAAAGTGGAATTAATACATTTTAATGCTTCAATGGACAAGTATTAATGTAAGGTGCTTTAACTTGATATTGATGTCAAGTGAATGAGTCCTTTCAATAGAATATTCAGCAACTTTATTCCTAGACATCTGAAATGGCTAGCACTGAGGAAAATGAGCTAAATTAAGGAAACTAGGATAAATTAAAGATGATGTCATTCTGGAGAAGTTTTCTCTCTGGACAACAAAATGTTTCCAAGTTTGGAGTTTGAAAAGAAGTTCAATAATTTCAGGAGTTTTCAAGGCTGGAAAATGAAAACTGCAGTTAAGTTAAATCTTAAAGAATCTCCATAGTGCAGGTTACTGAAGCCAGCAAGCTGGCTTTAAAGAAACAGTAGAGACTTGCAAATGTATCTTGGAACTGAACAGCTCGCCCAGAGATGTTCTGGACCTTGCCCAGGTTGATTTCTCTGGGGTACCTCAGACGGGAGTAGGCATCATCCTTTCACCTGCCTCCTATGAATCCTGGTGGCCGCAAACCTCCAGAACCCAATGAAAAGCCCAGGTACGCGGGGCCAATGACTGCAAACTTCAGGCCTCAAGGGATTGGATCGGGGACAGGCCAGTCCTTCCCATCTCCCCGCCCTTCTGGGGTCCTGGCTGTCACACCCACGAACTGCCTCCAGATGCATTTAAATGCGTTAAGTCATGGATCAATAGCCATGAACCAGAAACTCACAGATGAATCTTGGTACCTATCAGCTTGCTACAGAGATGTCTCCTGACCCCAGTTATTTAAAATCTTAGAATTCCAGGAGCTTGTGGCTGCTTTTTCAGTCACACAACATCTCATGCTATTCAAAACCAGCAACACAAAATAAATTAATCAGCATCTGCCTGTGGGGCAGGCTTGAGTGGTGGTGAGAAACTTCAAAATAAGAGTGGTGGGAAGGTGTAATGGTGGTGGGATTGGTGTTGAAACATTGAATGTAATCCATTACTGTGAGTAAATTTAATCACTTAATCACTTAATCACTTAATCCCCGTTATTCATCAATTTATTCGAGTGGGTGCCAGTAACGTCTCCATTCATCCCGGTTGCGTGCTAGCGTAGCCCAATGGTATCTGTTCATTCTAGGAACATGCAGAGCCTCAAACCGATCATTTAGGGTCTTGACGAAGAAGTCTGACCATCTTATAGGTGGGCGGCCACGTGATCTTTTGATGTCCCGTGGAATCCAATCAGTAATGGCTCTAGTCCAGCGGTTGTCTGTAAACCTCATTACGTGTCCAGCCCATCTGATTTTTGATGTCTTGGCAAATGAGACAGCGTCCCTGATTCTTGAGCGTTGATGAAGATCAGAACTCCGGACTCTATCTCTCATTTGAGTGAATCGTGATATTCCAAGCATAGTTCTTTCGATTCCTCTTTGAGAGACCCGAATAGCGTTCTCATCCTGTTTTCGTAGGGTCCAGGTCTCTGAGGCATATGTTAATGCAGGAAGAAGAGTGGAATCAAAGAGATGTGCTCGTAGCTGGAGGTTCTTTGTCCTTTTAGTTATTTCTTCAATGCTCTTGAAGGCATTCCAAGCCGCTCTCTTCCTCCTGCGCCACTCAGGTGCCAGGTCATTCATCATGTTGATTTCTCGACCTAGGTATATATAACTGTTGCATTCGGAGATGGTGGTTCCGTTGAGAGCGAATGGAGCGTCAGGAACAAGCCTGTTTCTCATAAACATTGTCCTCGTAAGATTCAGCTGTAGTCCGACCTTTCCACATTCACGGTCAAAGTCGTTCAGCATTTGTGCCGCTTGGCTGATGTTTGGTGTTATTAGAACGATGTCATCAGCAAAGCGGAGGTGGTGTAGTTGCCGACCATCTATCTTCACTCCCATGTTTTCCCATTCCAGTCGTCGCATGATGTTCTCGAGGGTGGCACTGAAGAGTTTTGGTGAAATGGTATCACCCTGCCGAATCCCTCTCTTGATATGGATGATTACTTCTTTGTAGAATGGTGAGATCTTGGTAGTGAATCCGCAATAGAGCTCACGAAGGATCCTGATGTATTGAGTTTGTACGCCCTGATTGGCTAGGGCTTCCATGACCGCTTCCGTCTCAACAGAATCAAAGGCCTTCTTTAAATCAATGAACGTTAGACAGAGCGGCATCTTGAACTCCCGAGATACCTCAATGAGCTTGGTTATTGTGTGGATATGGTCAATGGTACTGAATCCTTTTCGGAATCCAGCTTGTTCACATGGTTGTCCTTCATCTAGTGTTCTGCTAATCCTATTCAGGATGACTCGAGTGAATAGTTTGTAGATGAATACGAATACGAATACGTATGATGAATAGGAATACGATCGAATGATTCAGCACCTCCATGATTGTACAAGGAATGCCAAGAGAGAGATAACCACAAAAAACCGTCTTTCTTCGAACACTCTTGAACTTATTCGCCAACGTGGCTTGGCACATGCCTCAGGCAACCACAAGTGAACATCCGAACTGGCAAAACAGTGCAGAGAAGCCATCAAGGATGACCTCAAAAACAGGAGAGCAGCAGTACTGGTAGATGCAGCAGAAGCTGGGAAAAACATTCGTAATGCCCGCCTGTCCTTCACCAACTACAAAACCAAGATGACTGCCCTCCGACATCATGATGGATCTATCACATCTTCCAGAAGGGCAATGGAGAAGATTATTCATGACTTCTACTCAGATCTCTTTAATAGCCACATCCACTTGCCCACATACCACTCACTCACTAAATAAATATCAGAGAGTAAATTTATGAAAATAAATCTTAAAAAAATAAAGAAACAGCAATAAAATAACAAAAAGGCAAAAGAAACAAACTGGTCTACAGAACACAACTCCATTGGGGTTGTGAGGACACAGAGACCATAGTGGAGGAAACAGGACCCTGATGGACGGTGTTGTGCACGACACTATTATGAGCAGTAATGGTCATCACAGGGCCTCACATAAATAAATAAATGAGGATGAAAAAGAATGATTGCATACATTAAAATTGAAGTACAGGGCTGGAGCAATAACACAGCGGGTAGGGCATTTGCCTTGCACGTGGTTGATCCGGGTTCGATTACCAGCATCCCATATGATCCCCCTAGCACCGCCAGGAGTAACCTTTGTATATCGCTGAGTGTGATTCCCCCCCCCAAAAAAAAATTGAAGTACAGGGGCCCAAGATAATACAGCATGTTGGGCGCTTGCCTTATAAGTATTCAACCCGGGATCTATCCTTGGCACAATATATGTGCTCCTCAGGACTGATAAGCCAGAAGAAAGCTATGAACTCCAATGGGTGTGCCCTTCCCCCCAATTTGAGGAACTTGGGTGATAGTACAGTGAGTAGGGCATTTGCTTGCCACATGGACAATCCAATTGATCCCTGACACCATGTATGGTCCCCCAAGTCCTGCCAGGACTGATTCCTGAGCATGCTCGTATGCCCCGCCAAACTAAAAACTAAAAACTAAAATACAATTTTCATCAGTCTTTCCACAGGACAATAAATGAGGGTGGGGGGTGGGGAGAAACTACTGCATGCATTAAAATGGAAGCACAGTTTAGATCAGTTTTTTTTTTCTTTTGGGGTAACACCCACCCTCAGGTATTATTCCTGGTGGTGCTCTGGGGACCATACGGGATGCTGGGAATCGAATCGGGGTCAGTCGCATGCAAGGCAAATGCCCTACCTGCTGTATTATTGCTTCAGCCCTCAATCAGTTTTTTTCATGTGCAAATCAAACAGTTCTGCACCTGAGACATCTTGGCCACAGCTAGAGATATTATGAATCCCAAATGTGTCACTGTCTCTAATTGTTACTGATTGACTGCAGGAAGTATTAAAGTCATACAGAATACATATCCTTATCTATATAAAATGTCACAGGCTTCTAAAAAAAGACTAACAATTTTGCTGAGCTAATTTAATCATGGGACCAGGGGGAAAAATGGCATCAAGCGTTGAAGTGGTGGGAGTGGTAGGAAACCACAGGCTGGACTCCCTGTGCAAAGAGCTGAACACATCACATTCAAGTCATGTGGATTCTGCTGCAGGACTTTATGTCCCATAAACATCTATTTCCATTCTTACACTTTCTCTGTACACATAAGCCAAAAAATAAAAAAGTCGAACTAACAAAGGGACCTACGATAACATTGGCTCATTAAAAATTTTTACCTGTCTTCTGCATACAAGGACAATTCCATTTTTTTTCCTCAAAATGTGTTTTTTGG